TTGGGAAGGTTCCTGCCTCTGAAGCAGCAGAAGAGTGTTTTTTCCTGAAGCTTCAAATGAACAAGCATGGTGTTCAATGATAATGGCAATGATGTCCAACTGTTACCAGCACAGATAAAAACTGGTGCTTTAGCTGTGTGTGGTACACTTACTACACACAGTTTTAGGAAGAGAAACCAACTGTCTGGTTCTGCAGGATATTAGTTTTAGGAAGAAAGGCAACTGGGCTTTCTTCTCCCAAGTGCTTGCTCATCCGTGCTCCTCAGGTGTCATCGTACATCTCCCTCCTTCCTTTCTCTTTTTCTGGCATTTTATTATGAATGATGGTGATGTACAGGGGCAGTGTTTTGAGACAGTGTTCTGTGTTGTACACCACTACCCAGGGCTTGCAGAATGTTCATTTCTAAAGTAATTTCAAAATATAATGTTGATTTTTCTGATCTTAAATTTCCCGAGCCTTCTCATTTGCTTTGCTTTCAACCCAGTAAATTCTGCAAGCCCATTTCCCCAAATGAAAATACTTTTTGGTTTTTAACTAAAAGTCACTTTTCTGTCAGTCTAAGAATTTCTGCAATCAGAGAATCACAGAATGTCTGGGCTGGAAGGGGCCTCCAAAGCTCATCTAGTCCAATCCCCCACCACAAGCAGGGACATCTCCAACTAGATCAAGGTACTTAAAGCTTCATCCAGGCAGAATGAAGCTTTTTTTTATCTCCTGGATTTATCCAGGAGGTAAAATTATGCTTAGGCAATAGTTATCTAGCAAAGATGCAAAAATTCTAGCCTAAATAAATATTTATTTTGTTATAGGCTCAAGGTAACTTGTCCCCTTCATCCCCAATCCTGATTCATTAGTCAGCAGAGTCAGAGCAATGTGACCCCTCTCTGCAAGTTAATTCATGGATGAGGCACTGCCATTAATAAATGATGATATTTGTTGCCTGTCCTTATTCTGCCTGTAAACTAATGGGCAGCAAAGAAGCAAGATATTTTCTTAAGCTGTTCCCATCTCACTGAATGGAAAGCTTGTCATGCTTTTAAGTAGGGGGTGAGAGTAACAATGCCACTGATTGCTGCAAATGATGATGTAATCATTTTTTAGGATTTAAAGAAACATTAACTGCTGTAGAAATCAGTGACCAATTGTCACTCACACACTTGTCACAGGTAGGAAAGCAAGAACACGATTAAAAATAAGCCATGAATGTTTGAAAATGTCCATAGTGCAATTATGGGGCTGTGAAACACTGATCACTGGGTGAGCAGTTAATTAAGGTGGGGAGTTGGGGCTGTAGTTTGACCTTCTTGCACAGCCTGTGTGTTTCAGAGCATGGAGGCTACCTCCAAAAGAACCCATCCAGCTCTAGAAGTCATTGGGCATACGTGGCTGGAGGCTGAGGGAAGACTTCAAGGGAGCATCATTGTGTTTGGGGTTTTTTTTGGTTCTTATATTCTTGCCTAGGCATCTGCTTTTGGCCCCTGACTTTACTGATGTCTTCAGGCAGGATGCTGCTCAGCCCTAGCAAAGCCCTGCAGCCCTCCTGGTGAAGTGCACAGTGAAAGAAGAGTGAAAAGTAGTTGTAGGATGTGGGAGGAAGGCAAGGGAAGGGGAAGGATAGGATGGGAAAGGCACAGAGTGGGTGTTTTGGTCAGTTTGGCACTGCTCTTTCATGAGCAGTCATCCAGAGAACTCACAGGGGCTGGGATATTAGTGTCCAGTCCTGCCTGGAGCTGCCTGTGGCTGCTTGGTGACCCTTTTCCACCCCTGAGAAGATGGGAAGAGGGTGGAAGTTCAGTTTTACTCCTACCCGAGCCTAGATGAGAGGAATTCTGGAATTTGCAGTTCTTTCCTGATACATATAAGGCTGTTCCAATGAGTTAATTGTGTTCCAGGTCTTAATGAGAGAAGGAAGACTAGGACTACTCTGCATGCATGTTCAAAGTAATGTTATTAGAGCAAAGAAGACTAGGACTACTCTGCATGCACCTCATGTTCAAAGTAATGTTATTAGAGCAACTGTTAGTATTTGTGACTTAAGCACTTGATTTTTGCATCCTTCTTGTTATAGTAATATTAAATATTCAATTTCCAACCTTAAAGGAAAGCTAGAAAGGGTAACTGATGTATGACTTGGTACTTTTCTGGCCCAGCCTACAGTGGTGGAACTCAAGCACCTACCTGTGACTGAATGTATGCAAAATGTATTTATGTTCTATTGAATATATTTAAAAAGTAGAAAAGAAACATAATGCAGAGTAGGGAAGTTTTCTGGGGTCATTTTATTTGTATACCAAAGCAAGATACTCCTGGTCTGACAAATAATTCAAGTTTTTAGGTAGTTGGAAGCATCCTGGTCGTAGCTGAGACGACATGATTCCATGTAGTTGTGGGTCTGTTCAACAGGGGAACAATGATTTTGTCCCACTCATCTTCCTCTTGTTTCTGCTATGTGAATCAAACAGCTGAGTGATCAGAGAGGGCACATGAAGATTTCAAGCCCTGACCCTTGTAGAAATGCAAGAGTGCTCATGAGAATGGGAGAAGATGACAAGACTGCAGTTGGTGTTACAGCAGATGTGTGTGTGCCATAGATGTATTATCTACACAGAAATAAAACCAACTCCAGTGAAAAGGGCTAAAGTAATAAGTCATTGAGTTTTTAATTAAAAAATAAACCAACATGGATTTATTTTTACTGATAGAAGTGTACATTTTTCACTTTAAAAAGAGGTTTCAAGGGCTCTTTATGTTAAGAGGGAAGGAAGGTACTCTGACTAAAGGCCTGGCAAATATAACCTTTCCAGTAAATCTTTTAGGAAGAGCTGTAGACTATTGTTAGAACAGTTTGGTTTGAATTTTACTTGTTATTATCTTGTATTCCAAGAGTATTTCCTGTAATAAATGCAGAACCATCAAATTCTCTCCTTTTTCATGGCTGAAGTCATGCTATGATGAAAAACTGGGACTCCTACTAAAGTCCTAACATTTTCTTCATGTTGGGCATCCTAAGAGCCCAATTAAAAGCCAAGGAACCACAACACATTTTAATTAACACACAGTATATTAACTTGTTTGAAATCAGAATTGATTTTTTCCTCTTCTTTTCTCTTTTCAATTTCAGTGACATTTTAAATCTCAGTTAAAGTTCCATTACAAGTGAAGGTTACAACCAAAAGTGTTGAAGTAAAAAGAGGTGATTTGACATCCTAGGATCCTTTTCCAGACTTTGTACTTCACAACACCCAGAACCTGCTTCTTTAAAACCTGCAGATTAGTTGTGGAGCTTTACTACATTGTCTTTTCACTTGTGTGAATTGTGTCCACAAGGGGTTTTTCATGTAATTGTGCTGTGTGATTGTGTTTCTTAGAAGGTCAGCAGCTTTTTGGATTTCTTTTAAGGCAGTTTTTACATTTACTTCTCACAGAAGTCCTACAGATTCTTGTACATAGAAGATTAGTGGTGAATGTGGAATTTTAGGAGGGAGTTGACACAGGAATGGTGTATGTAAAGAATTGTATTTTACTGTGTATCTTTTTTTTTAGAGATCATTAACACATGTGGGCAAAGTCAAAGAAGTTTTGGGACACATGAACAGTTCCTCAGCTCATATGCCTGAAATGTAAAGTGATCTGATTTTTAAAGTTTGGAAAAGTTCCACTTAGAAGCACATCTTTTATAATCTGCAAGTCTGTAACATTGGGGAATGGATAGAAAAATTCCTAATTTCTGGACAGGGGGTTCATTCTGATGGAGTGTTGTGGAGAGGTTGGATTTCCCTATAAAATGCCTCTGGAATATGTTTCAGTCACTGCTGCCTGGTCTGGAGGTGTAGAGTCCCTCTCTCAATTCATCTCTGGGGATACTTAGCAACACCTATTGCATCTTCCAAGTGAAATGGATTTTCATGCTGAAGGTTAAGTGGACCTTGCATTTGCATTCCCAGTCACTGCTACTAAGGATTAATTTCTTCCCTCTAAAATCTGAAAGAAAACTGTTCTCAGCCTGTTTTGTGTCAGCTGTTTTCCTCACTTGTCACTTCCAGTATGGATCATACTGCATTTTGTTGACATTCTCAGCATTTTTGAGAAAATTGAGACACTACATGATTGGGGTTTTCTTTCTTTAATAGCATTTTACTAGAATTTGGGCTCCTATGAGCTGTGAAGGGTGGTTGGGTTTAATCATGGACCAAGCTTAAACTTAGGAGCCTCTTTCTTCCTTCTGTGGTGACTTCTCACTCCACTGTTGTGGAGTGATTGGTTTGTAATGCTTGTCCTTAAATCAGGTACCATTATTCCACAGGAGCTATTAAAACTTGAACATGTAAATGAAAAGATGAGGAGAAATAAGGTATTTATTCTGTTTTAGAGTGATCCCTCTTCAATGCCAGCAGGTGGTCTATTCAAAACTAATAGTACTAGTTGCTTTTATTAAACCATTGTGCAAAGCAAGGACTCTGTTAATTCCCAGTCCTTACCAGCACAAATGATTAGTAGGAAATACTGATGTCATTACTGGAAACCTGTTAGGTGAAACTTTATGTCAAATATTTTTATTAGCCAGTTGATATGTATATATGATTAAAAAAAATGTCACATTCTGTGCAGGTTCAACTCATTTCCCATAATAGAAGTAATCCAGCATTATTTGGTTGGTTTACACGTTTTGTAAGTGTAATAAAACAGCTATAAATTTGGGTTTATGTGAATTGAGAAATCACTGAACTTCAAATCAAACCGATCTATTTTAACCCCTCGTTTTTTTGCAAATTCAGTACAATAAATTAGCATAAACACTAACGAACATTCAAACCCATTTATTCCAGTTAAAATCCTTTCTGAACTCGTTCTAAGCACAGCATATTTCAAGCTTGCTTCTTGTATGAAAATCCTCTCCCTGCTGCCCAGCAGAGCAGTTAGGTGTGTGCATGTTAGTCATACAAGTACACAAAAAAATCAGCCAGACAGCATGGAGAAAACAGATATTACAAACAGCATCAAGCAGTCAATCTGTGCTTAACAGCATTCAGCAGAGAAATTTTTTTTTTTTTTATGAAATTCAGGCATAAAATTGCCATTCAGGAAGCCAGAGATGGATGTCGTGGTGAGATTTACATACCATTAGCTCACATCAGTTGATGAGCAGCCGAGCTCTGTGGTACGAGGCTAGTCAGACACGTTAGTTGTGGTGCCAGGAGGCTGCAGGTCAGGAAGGTTTGCTGGCCACATGCTCATTTCCTTTGCCTTGCTGATTACTTGATAAAATGAAGTGCATCACTGTGAACAATTGACCCTTTCGAACAATCCAGACTGGTCAGCAGTCTAAATCCACATTTTAAAGCCATCATTATAGCCTCAAACTTTAGAGTTTCCAGGGTGCAGACGAAGGTGTTGTCCTCCTTCAGTACCAGTCGTGTGCCATTTTCAGACTTTATAAAGTACTTGAACTGAATAATATTGGAAGATACTGAAAACTCCTCTGGAAATCCATCCAGCCTGCTTTTGGACACCAGTACAATTCTGGATTTTATTTTTGCAATGAAATCAGGCGCGTTACAAAAGATCCTGAGTCCTTGTGAGCGGTCGTGGCTGTCGGTTATTTCCAGGAAAGTGGTCTCTCGAGATGCTAGCTGCTCCTTCTCCCACCTCGATTTCACTGCCTCCGAGAGCACCTTCAGCTGGAAAAAATCTGCTTCTTGGGCCAAAAGTTGATTTTCTCGAAACCCTTCTGGCAGCAGAAGTTCTCCATTTCGTAGGAAGTTGAGGACGTGCCTGAAGAGGAGCCCATCTCTGTCTATGAAGTAATGCCCCTCTGCATCCAACGGGCACATGATCTTCCCATTTATGATCCCCTCCAGAAAAGAATCTGGATACTTGGTCAGCGTCTGTTTCTGTGTGATATAGAGATAGCCCCCAACATTCAGAGTGATCAGAGACATTTTATAGTCCTTGTCTTGCTCGGAGCCTCCGGAGTTACTGTGTTTCTCTTCGCATTCATTTTCCCTGCTGTTTATTTGTCTCTCCATTATCCAGGCTAGGATAAAAAGCCAGCTATCTTGCTTTGTTCTCGTCAGCTTGCAGAGAGATTGTTTTTTTTTTTAAGAAAAGCACCTTTATGCAGCTCGGGCACGACGTTGGAATAGAAATGCTGCTCACATTGCTCCGACTGCCAGCCTGGGTTTGCAGTAGGTGGCGTGTCAGCTGTGCACGCAGGGAGAGAGCAGGAATATGACTGTAAAGCACAATTTGCATTTAACTGTATCAGGGAAGAAGGGTAAAACAACCCTTTGTCTCCTTCTTTCCTTTAAGTCTATGAAGTCTACATAGTTTTGGGGGTTATTGACAGAAATACCTACTACCATTCCAAGCGACGCCCTGTTCTTAATACTTTATTTGTAGCATGAGCTGGCTGAATCATATTTAGTGCTTATAGTGTTTAACACCTTCATTTTAATTTTCACAGAGCATTTTTTCCCACCTTCTTTTTGGTACCAGTGAGAGTACCTGGTGCATAGAGGAGGGCAGCAGGGCCAGGAGGGGTGTCCCTGTGTGCAGGAGGGGAGCGATGCCCAGGCAGATGCCGCAGCCGTCGGGCACATGCTGGGTGGTAAGATGCTGTCCCAGGAGATGCTCCAGAAGTGGGGCTGAGGACTTGTTGGCCTGACAGGCTTAAGTTTGTGGTGGAAGCTTTGCAGTCGCTGGGAGTATCCCCACCAACACGAGCTGCAGCCTGATGAGGTTTCACTTTTTTGCCTTTCTCTGCGCCGTAGATAACAACGGGTCTAGAGAGCGGGTTTGCTGTTTATATTGGTGGAGGGTTTTGAGTCAGCAAGGCTATCTAAGCATGAATTTGTTCTTTTTGGGTAGAAACAACTCAGCTGCCCTGTGGAACAAAGGGTTAGTGTGCCTACAGATAGCTCTGAACATCACACAACGTTTCAGCTTAGCAACACTCCGGTACGGGGAGGGGGGAACCTCGGCAGAGCACGCTTGAATCAAATGGCTGTCTCCTCTCCGTGGAGCTGTGCTCTGAGGCTCACCCTCAGGAAAAGGTTTCCCCTTTAAACAGCTGCAGCTTGGAGCAGGCAAGGAGCTTGGAGCTCTCCACCCAGCTCCGGGTGCTTTTCCCTGGGGCGCGGCTGGGTCGGCAGCACGCGTTCCCTGGCACGGCTGGGAGCAGCCACACACCTTGGGCAGCATCTCGAGGGGGTTTCCATCTTCTTCAACATCTATTTGGCACTTCCCAAGTCGAGATGTCTCCTGCTTTGCCCCATCAGCCAGAATTGCCAGAAAGTCAGAGGATTCTTCTGTAAATTCTTCCACTCTGTTTTGGAATATTTTATACTCTCTCTCTCAGGCTGTTTATGGACGCTGTAGAGTCATCACTAGAATAGTTCATTAATTGGTAACTCAATCAAGTAGAAATAAATGCAGTTTTGTTTTTAACTCGTCGTTCTCCTCGCCAGGGTATCCGTGGCACTGATACTGTGTGTGATATATTAAGCAGATATTATTCATTAGGTTGGATTTATCAGGAGTTAGTCACGGGTTTGATTTTAACTCTTTGAGGCCATTGATACGTTTGTTGTCACTTCAGTCAAAGAGGTTTCCACCAGTTTCTAATTTGTAAACATTTGGACTTTTTTTCCAAATTAACTCCTTTCACAAATCTTGAGTGACTAATGGAGAAAATTAAAAAGCCAGTTAGTTTCAAGTATGATTTTATTTTTTTGTCCATTACAGGAGACATCCATTCAAATGTAGCTTATTGTCAAGGGATGGAAAATTCAGTTCATGTGCTTAGAATGTGCACAGCTACAGTGTTGAACCATCTCAGTGGCTGTTAAACTCTAAGAAAATCATTTCTGTGGCGCTTTCTTCTTCCACAGTGATTTTGAAATACCTCAGAGCTGAACTAGGAGAGTCCTGGCATGAGTAAGCAGGGATTTCGAAGGAGAGCTGAGCTTTGTAAAAGACAGGAGATTTTTGATGAGCAGCTAAACTGTCTGCATTTTAAGAGACAGCAGTTACAGAGCAGTGTCTGCTCACTTAGTTTCTTGTGCTCATCATCTTCTCAACGTTCTAACGCTTGCAGTTGAAATTTTCCATTTCTGTGAAGGAGTAAGGATTCTTTGAAAGAGCAGGCCAAATTATTTCAGTGCTTTATATGATAAAATATTCAAAAGCGCTTTGCTGTGGAAAATATACTCTGTGGGGATCATGAATATTTACATTTACACCTTTGAGACTTGAAAAATGTCGAGCTGCTGTAAAATTTTCTTCAACACAAACCCATGTAACTTTATTTCAGTGCAGCTGCCAATCATCTGTAACACAAAATCAAAGTCTGGCTTATCTTTGTGGAAATTTTCCACTTTCTCTGCCATACTACCAGACAACTTTTCCAAAGAGTCCTTTTTCTTCCTGTGCACATGTCCTTGTGTCCATGCACAAGAAGATCATCTAAAACTTCACTTTGATAAAGGTATGCAAGTGTTTCTTGCAATCAAGTCAAAGACTCTGATCATTCTTGAGCTCTGGGTGTCTGTGTTGTGCAGCAGGTGTGTGACAGCTGATGTGTGCCCTCTGCATCCCAGATCTTCACATCTTAGAATCACAGAATCCTTTAGGTTGGGAGAGAGCTCCAAGATCATCCAGTCCAACCATCAAGCCAACACTCCTGAGTCCTCTGCTCAAACAGAATCAGAATCTGTCAGGGCTGGAAGGGACCCCAAGGATCCCCCAGTTCCAACCCCCCTGCCATGAGCAGGGACACCTCCCACTAGCTCAGGCCGCCCAGAGCACACCTCCCACTAGATCAGGCTGCCCAGAGCCTGCCTCCTCCAGGCCTTCAAGACCCCCAGGGATGGGGCCTCAACCCCCTCCCTGGGCAACCCATCCCAGGCTCTCCCCACTCTCCTGGGGAAGAACTTCTTCCTCACAGCCAGTCTGAATCTCCCCACTGCCAGCTCTGCCCCATTCCCCCCAGTCCTGCCACTGCCCCACAGCCTAAAAAGTCCCTCCCCAGCTTTCCTGGAGCCCCCTTCAGAGCCTGGAAGGCCACAAGAAGGGCCCCTGGACCCTTCTCCTCTCCAGGCTGAACAGCCCCAACTCCCTCAGCCTGTGCTCCCAGCAGAGCTGCTCCAGCCCTCAGATCATTCTCGTGGCTCTTCTCTGGCCACGCTCCAGCAGCTCCACATCCCTCCTGTGCTGGGGGCTCCAGAGCTGGATGCAGTGCTCCAGGGGGGGTCTCACCAGAGCAGAGCAGAGGGGGAGAATCCCCTCCCTCCACCTGCTGGCCACACATCAATCCAGAGAGCTTTGCAGTTTGGTCTCAATCAGACAAGCTGTCCTGGAGACAGTGAAAATACAGTGCTAGTGTGTATCAGCTACACAGGAAAACAAATCCAAGGAGGAGGCATCTGCCCCTAGTTCTGTCCTACGTGTTTCCCTTCAGAAGATAACCTTACTCCTGCTCAGCTTCAATCCTCCTGAACCTCCTGGTCTGGAGACTGGAGCACACCGTGGAGCTGAGGGTTCAGGACTGGAGCACACCACAGGAGAGTTGGTGCTTTACCAGTGGTTCAGTGTCCAAACAGCATCAGCTTCACTGAGAGTCTGCTGCTGGGTTACACAAAACAGCTACTTTTGGTTATTACACTACAAAAGGATATGAGGAGACAGCTGTAAGAGGAAGAGAATGTTTGAAGTTCATTAGGAAGCTGTGCTAATGAAATCTGTTTGGGCTATCAAGACAATTTGCTGGCCACTCAGTGTCACAACACAGAGAATTGGCCAGGCTGTTGGACAATTAAAACACTCAAAAGCTGCTATCTCCCAACGTTGGTAGCAGAGACGTTCTCATTCCAATAATAACTGCAGGATGTTGATTAACAGCTATTGAAGGCCAAGCTCTACATGCTAATTAAAATTGAAGATTTTCAAATCAGGGAGTCTGAACGATTTGCATTCAAGAGTTTTGGAACAGCTGTCTAAGAGACTCTGTCTTGCTGTTGATATTTTAAATAATTTTTGTGTGGCCCAGGTATTTAAAAATCAAAAGAGGCTTCACAAAAAATAATAGAACATCTGACTTGGAAATCATTCAGTTAAGAGTTAGAGGAAAGTAAAATAATAATAATAATCTATGTGGGCAGAGGAAAAATGAATTATGCCAAAATTTTTCCCCCTTTTTTTTTTTTGGATTATGATTTGTTCAGCAAAGCAGGTGATGCTTTTTTCTGTTAAATCTTTGAGTATGTCTCATTTGTCATTTTGAGGTAGAATATATCTATTATATTTCCCTTTCCTTTATAGTTAAAGGATGAAAATTATGAAATAATAATTATGAAAATTATTTGCAGGCTTCCAAGTGCCAAGTGTTAAGCAGAGAATTATCCCTGAAACGTTGCTACAATTTGGTTCTTAGTCCTTAAATTTAGTTTATTTGTAGCCAGTGATGAAGGAGGAGATAGTTGCTGATGAAGTTTGTAGATGACACAGACTGAGAATGGAATCAGTAAGGAGATAAATTGCTGGTGCTGAACCATTTGGATAGAATAACATTTTAATATGAATAAATATGAAGTTTCTATGCCCAGGAATTCACTGGAGATGAGGCTTGCAGTACCAGTTTGTGGGAGGGTTAGGGCAGAAGCTTTGTCCTGTGTATAAGGCATCACTGACAACAGAAGGTGAGGTCATGGTTTTGTGCAGCAGTCAGCACAACAGATGCAGTGGGTGTGCTGGGGTGTCTCCAAGCTGGAGCACCTCAACATGAGGAAGAACTTCTTTCCTGTCAGGGTTCCAGAGCACTGGGACAGGCTCCCCAGGGAGGTTGTGG